GAATAATACATACATATTTCTATATAGAATAATTTGTATACATGTTATAAAAAATAGTTATTGCAGCTGTGTACTTCTTTAAGAAAGAAAATAATATTTTATAAACATATTTACAAACTATAATACATACATTTACGTATGTTTTATTATGTAATTGTTAATGTGTTTATATGTAATTATTTTTATTTATTTAATCCTAATATGTAAATGCTTATTAATGAATAATAATAATTAATAATTCATTACATTTATATAGCGCTTTTCTAGGCACTCAAAGCGCTTTACATTGTCAGGGGGTATCTCCTCGTCCACCACCAGTATGCAGCATCCACCTGGATGATACTTTTAAAAAAAGTAATCAAGCAGTTACTTTGTTTTCCCAATTTATTGATTGACAAGTCTCCTGTCCCCATATCGGGAGTAATCGGGAGTACAGAGGAATTGTGTGCGCTAAATATGATGTTACTGTAGTTCTAGACTAAATGTGAATGTGCATTAATTCATCCCACTCTTACGATCGTCTTTACGATCTGCTTAGGCTTACGAAGCTATTGGGAAACGCACCCCTGGTCAGCGAGTACAGAAAAGAAGTCCAGGCGACTCTAGTACTGTTAGGTGGGAGAAAATCCATCTTTTCCAGGCGAGACGTAGAAAACGCTCTTTAGCTCTAAGATCAATCGTTATCGAAAAACGCAGCCCAGAGCACTCGTAGATCTGCGATGATTTTCAAGTGCTACTTAAGTTACGATGCTTTTGGGAAAAATACCGTTATACTGAGATCAGTCGTACGATCGTCTTTACGATCTGCTTAGGCTTACGAAGCTATTGGGAAACGCACCCCTGGTCAGCGAGTACAGAAAAGAAGTCCAGGCGACTCTAGTACTGTTAGGTGGGAGAAAATCCATCTTTTCCAGGCGAGATCACCTGTAACCATGGATACACGCCTCAAACCATCAGATTCATCCGCGCAGGACAGCGAAGCCTAAGCACAACTCACGTAATTCTCAAAACAATATTCTTCCGTAAGTAACTTAAAGTTTCATGATTCAACCTCTAAAGGGGCCAATAGTTGCAGAGGTTTAATTGTTTTAATATAACAATTAAATGTAATTAAACAGTTGTAATATAATATAATATAATATAATATTGTTAATATATATATATATATAAATAAATTTCTATCACAGAAGAACTTCATCATACTGGTGCATCAGTAGTTCTAAAGTTCTCATTTCCCTTTTCTCATTATAATTACTGTTACATGCAACTGCATACAAGCCAAAACAAAATATGCCTTTGATGTAAAATATGAACTGTTGCCATGCTTGAAAACAGAGCCTTGATTTCCCCCTGTGATTTGCATGAAGAAATGATCTGCTCAGGGCCGCTGATCCACAATGTTAAGTGATTTTAATTTCACTCTTGTACCTAGCCAATGCTATAGTCCAGGGACTAGTGGGAGCGAATGGGGGAAGTGTGTTTGTGTGTGTGTCTGTGAGGATGCATCGTGCCAGAAATGTTGATTTGACTGTGATTTATGTCGAAGTCGTGCCAAGTATGTCCATCAGGGTGAACCTTCTCCGAGCAACCTCACTCTGTGTGTGTCTGTGACTCCGTCGCAACGCGATTGCACAAATCTGATCTGGTTGGAAGGTGGATGTGGTATAAAGTGATCTGGCACGGGTGAAATCTTTGGCATGGGTTAAATGGGTCGTACCCTCTCTTTTGGCCCTGTGGAGGCACACATTGGACCGGTGCTGTCCTTTACAGTCTCCTGCAGTCTCTTGCGTTTGTTGCCCAGTCCAGATTAGGTTCTTCTGGCACAACTCATGCTGGGCTTCTTCCTAAACCGTCTGGCATCTGCTGGCGAAGCAACCCTGAATGTGGCGATGTTAAGGCCATATTTGGCTCCTCATGAGACCAGAATGTGTTTTTGTCTACATTTAAATTAAATAAAAGAACAATTTTTTTAATCCATTTGATGTTTTGAATAAAAATAGCATCTGAAAAGAGTAAATGTATTTATAAATGTACATTTTCCCTGATAAATAAGCATTAGTTGTTAAAAATTAGCTTGAAGTGTCTTCATATAAAAATGCTGGGCACAGCATTGATGTTTACTGGACTATCTGCCCTCTACTAGTTGTTGGAATGTTATGGAAATGTTATGCTTTAGCGTGGCCCCAGCTGCTTTTTTGCATGTCATTTCATCATTTGCCATCAGCAGCTTCTCCAGGCTTGTCTGATCATCTGCCCTGATGCAATGAGAGGTACAACAAATATTGTTTTGGAAATCGGCCTGTTTTGTCTTTTATTGTGGCTTATCCTTCACTTCTACCCAGAGAAAAAGCATCTCAGACGTTAACATTCATTTTCTACTTCCTGAATGCATACATGCTCTCATGTACATTATTTTTTGAGTCTTTAGCAGCTAATAAGAGTCTAACAGTGTATTAGAGATGTTAATGATCCATGGCAGTAAGAGATGTCAGAAACGACTAAAACGACTTTTTTTTAGAAAAGAGATTTGAAATGCTATTCTTCTTTTACTCCACAAATCAGAAACAGACTGCATGCACATTAAAACATGCATGGGTATCTGAGAAGGCTTACAAACACTTAGAAGTGTGATTCCACGCAAGCACGCACAATTTTATACAGATTTGTTCAATTAAGCGCAACTTGTATATTGTTCCTCTAGTGCCAAAACTCATCTGGCTGTAGTCATTTTTATTTTGATATACCCAATTTAACCCCAGTAGCAGGGATCCTCATGCTGGAGCTGATTTGGACAGCCTGCTGGACGGTTCACCCTCAGGAACGGGCCTAAATGTCTTTGGTTTCAGCAGGCAGCTGTCCCCACTTAGGCCTTAATTTAATCTCCGACACTCTGAGGCTCCTGTGAGTGTTCTGGAAAACAGGATCTGGCAACACGGACGCTCACTCTCATCCAAACACACTCACGCTCTGAAGCGAGCCACCAGGGCTGATGTTTATGAGGAAGATTTCTGGTACGTTTGTTTGCGTACATTGATTACATTGTTATGATACGTTTATCTTCGGTTTGTAATATCTACATTTTCCATAAACGCTGATAAAATGACACTTGACCTAGATTATGTCGTTCTGCGTTTGTTATTTCCTCCTCTGAAATGTTGGCCTGCTCTTATTTTCAGGCAATCTGAAAGCCCCATCTGGTCAGCCTGGTGGGGTTTGGATTAGTCATGGTCTGGACCCTGTGACCAACCGACAGCCTCGCGAGGGTCTGTGCAAAACCACCCACAGACAGCCTGTAACAAGCTCCATCCAAAACGAGCACAAGCACACAAAGTCACAGTCAAAGGCACTATCGCCATTCTGCCAAGACTTAAACCCACACGAGATAGATGGAGTTCACACATATAAAATCTGTAAGTAACTGTTAATAATACGACATTTTCATCCAATAATATTCCAAATTCCCTCTTAAGATAAAAAAAGCATAGGTGTATTTCAGTGAAGTCAGAAGAATGATCTGTTCTGAGCATAGGCAGTGTACAAAGGTAGGTTTACATAACAGCTCATCTACTAAGATGCCTTCATCTATTTCGATTTTGAAGGCGGCATAGATGTGTCCTTTATAGATTATTAAAAACAACTGGCTAAAAAATGTATGAAGACAATTGATTATTCATTTCTTATTTTTATTGACTCCTTCAGACGCAATTTTATTACATTTTATTAATGCAATTAATATTACATTTATTTATTCATTCATAAAAACATTCTCATTTACAAATGAATTAAAAATAAATGTATTTTATTGAATAAAAATACTAATATTTAAATGTTATTTTAATATTAATTTATTTAATTAACATTACAATTATATTGATTCCTTCAGACACCATTTTATTACATTTATATTAAATTGGTCATTTATTTATGTTCACTTACAAATTAATTTAAATAAAATTTTTAGCTGGGGTAGATATAGCGATCCGACACTAAATGAAAGCAGAGGTGCTGTGGGCTGTGGCAGGTGTTCAGTGTGGATGTGCTCCGCTGCAGCGCAGGTGAGTGTTTGTGATGGCGGTCACACTGCGGTCCATCACGACTTTATGTTTTCCTAACTTGATTATAGCCTTGAATAGTCTTTTTTGATCATATGTTTATGATCATATTGTTTCAAATTGATATTAGGTTCATCATAGGCTTACTTGCACCGTTATTTTGTGGTTTATTTGTAATTGTGTTTATAGTTTATTCACGAAATTGTAATATTTTTTTATTTGTCTTACATTTTTGTTACAAGCAATATGGATTGTGGTGGTTTCGTTATAAGGGACATCAGATATAGAAGCTTTTTTTTATATATATAATAGCTAGGTATATAGTATTATGGTTGGTATTTTTGTTTATTTAGAATCTGCATTTATTCACTGACAAGTTTGCTTGTGGAATATTTTCTCTTAACTTATGATATTTGTGACTAAATAATCCTATTATTATCGGGATGCCCGATCCTGTTCCTCGCGATTACATTAGATATCGCGATCTACCTTCCAGCAAAGTTCAGTTTCAACTCTAATCTTAAACACACCTGAACCTGAGCTAAATAAGATCTTCAGGAACATTTTAGTTTCCAAAATATACCATTTCTAAACTACGTTTGGTTAAAACAAGTGTTTATTTATTTTATTTTATTTCTATTTTGTAGGCACAATCTAATAACTTTCACTTTTTGTAACCTTTTATCTAAATATTTAATATACTCCTATATTATTCAGGTTTTTTGTGTTTTTGTGCCTTTTTTGTGTGTACATATTGCAGTGTTAGTACAGACATACCAGCACATTTATGTCCAACAACCTGGGGGCTTTAAACTACAAATATCTTTTAACGTATTCAACAGATACTGAACATCTATTGATTTACTGACCTTGAACAAAACTGGTTATTACACAAGTGTTCTGTCTTAAAATATGTGGGGTTATTTCAGGCATTCTCATTTACCACATAAATCTGCAACATTTTTAGATCAAATTACATGAAATTTGATGTGCTGCCATTGTGCGTAATGGATTAGGAAAATGTTGCAGTACTCAGAGACAAAAAGGTATTTAGGAAAGTACTTTTGTATATTGTTTTAGTCATTAGCCCAGTTGTACCATAGATAAATAATGTAGCATGAATGAAAAAGCATATATATATATATATATATATATATATATATACACCATAAATATTACATTTTCATGTTCATTCTGCAAATCTTTGTGTTTTTCTAACTGTCAGCGTTTAGGAATTAAATACATTTGTATCTTTTAGTGATGGTCTAGAGAAGATGAGCTCAGATTGAAGTGTTTGCTCATAATTTTTGAATGGGGTGAATCTCATGACCACAACAATGTCCACCAGTAAATCTGCCGCCAGAAGAGCAATTCTACAGACCTCCAGGACTAGATGGAACAGGACGGATAACTTTGATATTGTTCCTGTTATCAATTCAGACACAAGTGAGTAACTGAGATGTTGTGCTGTTTCGTGGAAGTGCAGTGTGCTGCGATGTAGACTTTGATGTTCGAGATGTTCCAGGGACCTGGGAAATTTTATTATGATAATCGGTGTTAGTGTTGGTCAAATTGTAATTCCATGGATCATCCAGACCTCAGAAGTCCTGCTCACTTCACAGAATATGCAAAGCAGCACAGTGAACGCCCATGTATCCCTGGAGCTCTGTAAATCAATGGCTCATCCAGACCGCAGCAATAAATTTCAAACATTAAAGAAGCAGGGTGAATGTTGTAACGACTTGCTGTCCTTTGTATTTTAAACAGGCAAGTGTGATGGAGACAACGTAGAGCGCTGGCTTACGGCAATCTCCAAGTAAGCAGAATCTCACAAGTGTTCATGCCTCTTTCATTGTGGCTTTATTTAGGGGTAAACCTTTCTCAAAAGGTTTCAGCTGCTCCATTGTGCCATCTGTTATAACTTGCATTTCTTCCCAGATTAGATTCTTCAAAGCATTTCAGATCTGGTCACTAATATAATTTGACTTCCTTGTTTAAGGGATGATACAAAACCAGAGGTTGTCCTGGAGACGAAGGGTAAGTTTACCTGTCCCATTTGAAAAAAAAAAAACCCCACAAAAAAAAAAAAAACTATCTGCGCTTATGAGATTGGCATGGAATGTGTGTGTATATATATATATACATATATAAATGATGTTATTATATTTGTATTTATTATCATATATTTTCTATATTCTTAAAATGTATCATATATTTATTATCATCATATCACAATAAAGTGATTCAGAAGATAAAGGATAAAATGCAACATTGACGAGGATTTCAGTGTATATTTGTTGCTTTATAGTTGCTGTGTATTTCAATTCAGTTGACTGTATGATAAATGTGATCAGCTGAATGCATATGCAAAGAGATCTTGTGAATGCCCATTTAACCCCGGAGCTCTGTGTAAACTTTGTGTTGGATATGTAATTAACATGCTGATATGATTCATGACTCAGTTAGTAATTTCTCTGTGATGGCTGACATTGTGCTGGTTTATACCATTATAACAGAGTTAGCTGACCTACTGACCTGAGGGCATGACTTACTGCCTCTGAATTTTACACTTTTAAATACTGTATTGTAAAACATATTGCTTTGCTTTCAGTGAAGCCCATAAGAAGAAATGAGAGCGGAGAAGATGATCTGGCACTGGGAGTGGAAGGTAAACATTCACAGTTTTGTATTGCTCGGTTCAGTTTAACCAAATACCCATCTGAAACAAGACATGTGAGCGATATGAATGAGTGACGTTGGTTGGCATCAAGATTTTTGTTGACGTATTGAGCATACATTGAGCATGAAGATTGACGTATTGAGCATACAGTGGCATATGGAGTCTGTGTTTTAGAATACATTGGTGTTCAGAAGGCCTGTGCTAAACCTGGATTTTAAACATAGCAAACCTCTCCATACCTTCTATCACAAACACTGGTAGAAAGTGAGACAGTCCAGTCCCTGCTGTTTGAGATGCGTCACCGCATAGACTTGAATGGAATGAGATGGAAAAGATAAGGAGTAGATAAAGCAGGAGTAGATAAAGCAGAAAAAAGTCGTGCGCCTAAACTTAACATGATTTACCCAAGTATTACATGTTCATTATGTCATACTAGATCAACATCCATGTAGGTCCCGGAAGAAAACCAACCAACCAGATCAACTAATACAATCAGATTTTAGAGCATTTATGGGCTTCAATAGTATTCTTATCAACCCATAATTTCCCTTTCAAAGTTGGTTATAGTTAAGGATACTCTTCAAACAAGATTCTACTGTAATTAATGCAGAAAAGGTAACCTAAGATTTACTTGATTATTGTAGTGTTTTTGTTTACTTGCCACTCTGAAGTTTTCAAGTAATTCATCTCAATAGTTTTCCTGTACTTTGATTTTTAAAAGACCACAAATAAGCACAATAGATGAGTTAGATTTATGCTTTATAGTTCAAATATGCCTACATTGAAAATTTGATCTTGTAATTCAGTCTTAGTCACTCTTTTCCCAGTATGCACTGGGGCATGACTAGTCATGGTTGCATTGTCTGACTGTTCATTTACACAGTTCACATTTTAGTTATTGTTTTTTTCTAATGAATTCATGTGATGGATGTTCACGTTTTAAAGGGGTCATATGATGCGATTTCAAGTTTTCCTTTCTCTTTGAAGTGTTACAAGCTCTTGGTGCATAAAGAAGATCTGTAAAATTGCAAAGACTAAAGTCTCAAATCCAAAGAGATATTCTTTATAAAAGTTAAGAGTCAGCCACACCTACCTAAAATGGCTCGTTCTAATACGCCCCCACATATCTACCTCACTATGTGGGAAGATTTGCATAACGCCACCCAAATGTTCACGCAAAGAAAGAAGGTGTAACTTTTATTCTCACTGTAGTATTGTTGCCGCTTTCCGCCATGTCCTGAAGACGCTGTGTGCTTCGTTGTGCTTTCACCATGGACGAAGTCCGGGGTAGTCACATGTGCTTGCCGCTCCTTCGTCGGATCCGCCGGCTGCGCCGTTCTCAACCCCGCCGCTTCAGCTCACTCTAGCCCGGCCTCAGCTAATGCTAAGCCGGGTCTTCCACTAGGCCGCTGTGTTTTTCGTTGTGAAAGCAAAACTACTTTGTTTGGTCTTCCAAAAGAGGACATGACTACAAATCAGTGGTTAAGTTGTATTTACAACACTGTTCCAGAACAGTTTAACCCAAATATCCAGATGTGTGCAGCACATTTTATGGAGGACTGTTTACTGATCCTGGGAGAGTAACGTTAGACTAAAATGCCGGCAGTTCTGACTCACGTAAGTATGTTTTCATTTAAAGGATGAGTTTTGGGCAGTATAGATTAGCACTTGTTGTTTGTCATTTCTCTGATCACAAATGCAGACAGGGTTTTATGTAAAAGACAGTATAAGTCATTAGAACCAGTAATTATGTCCCCACTGGATGCAACAAATGCCTCGTTTGTAATGGGTTTTAATGTTTTTGTCTCATCGCTCCGGCCGGACACGGCATCAACAGTATGGTAGGGGCGTAACATTTCCGTCTCACGCTTGAGGTATCCGGCCAATCACAACGCACTGGATAGCTGGCCAATCACAGCACACCTCGCTTTTTCAGAACGATGAACTTTGTAAAAATCGACGCGTTTCAAAAAGGCGGGGCATAGAGGAGAAACAATAATGTTAAGTATGTGGAAAATAATGTGTTTTTTAAACTTTAAACCGCATAAACACATTTCATTACACCAAATACACAAAATAATGTTCTTTTTAGCAGCATCATATGACCCCTTTAATAGTTTAAGACAAAAAGCACATTTCTCCTAATGACATGTCTAGGGAGAATAAGTTGGTATGTAATATTGAACAATTTAAAATCACAAATAACGTTTTACATTGATATAACTGAACTATTACTTAATCTGAATAATATTTGTTACAATAATTGTTAAATTTTACATCAACTTTTAAGTTCAGTGAAGGCATTTACTTAGATTACATTAATTCAACTAAAAAAAGGCCATGCAAATTGTTGCCTTCATTTATTTCACTTTGATATACATGGAAGTATGTGTCTTACTAGGCTAAAATTATCCTGTGCATAATCCTTGTGACTACTGAGGTTTACCTTGAGCTGACCTTTCACTTCAGGCACCAGGGGCTGTGTTACAGAAACTTCCTTTATGAAATCTCAAGTTAAGCTCTGACATGTTCTAACATTGTCCTGTTTTTGCCCCTATTGAGAAAATATTTTTCCAAACAGAAGTTTAGAATCTTTATTGTCTACTCACTTGGAAATGTATCTTTAGCCCAACAAAAACAGGACAAAACTATTCAGTAGTGTAGCTTCCTCATAAACCAATTTAAGAATAAATGCAGAATGATACTATAAATAGTCAGATAGAGTGACATAATATGATACAATAGAACAGACATTCTGCCAGAATTTCCTGCCAGACATTCTTCATATGTTAACATTTCTGAATGATCATATTCACGTCGACCACCTATTAATGTTTTCTTTCTGCTCAGTGTGCTGTTTTTCTTCAGGGTTCTGTCTGTCTTCTTAGCATGCTGTCTTCTGTCCTGGGTTCTTCCTTTTCAGAGTCACTTTGTAGTAATTGTCTTGACTCTCATCTGTTTGTCTCTTCTTAGGAAAAGTTGCTTTTCCTAAGTAACCTCCTCTGAATCTCTCATTCATGTCAGTTGCGCTGCCAGACACTCCCCTTCTAGTGAATGAGGTGCTTTGGTTTTGTAACACAGCAGCAATGGAAGGTACAGGACTAAATGGATTGGTGCTCTTCGGAATCCGCAGAGATTAAACAAAGGCGCTGGTTTAGGAAAATATGCTGGGCACTTTGGAACAGGGTCCACTTTTAAGAAGACATCAGCACGTCCCTGTCAACATGCCAAAGTCTTCTGTTCAGTTGTTTATGAGAAGACATCAGAACATCAAAACAACAATGAAGAATATTGACCTAATATAGCTACTGTAACGCTGTCTGGAGGTGTTTAATTGAAAACGCAGATGTTTATAAGAACTCCTCTGTGTTTCTTTTGTGTCTGATACAGCATCTTTATATGGCAGACGCTCTCTCAAGTCTGTACGAGACCTTCTGAGGTAAGAACATACTTAGTATTCATTGTCTTTTGTGCAGCACTTTCATTTATAACTTGATTAACTTTGAATTTTACCTGGATGTAGCCGATATGATAAGCTGATAATTATTTACATGTTATGGCCGATATTAAAATGTTATACTATTTTTGTCTAACAATAACTGCCACAAAATTGTATAATATGAAAAATGGATATTCATTTTTATATTTGCTAAACATTACTTTTAACAGTGTTATTAATTAAATTATTAGTGTTTTAAATATTAACCTGAAGTGAGTTATAGATGACAGCAAAGATAATCTAAATGTAAAAACAGAAGGAATGAGCATGTGCAATTAAATATCCAAAATAACCAATATGGTATCAATATATATAAGGCCATGTAAAAGGTCCTCTATACACTGTTCATTTGCTGTATATAGGAATACGCACTGCATATCTGTGTCACATCAAAGTGTTTGAAATGACTTGAAGTTGTACATTTGTTATATGAATATGTACTATGAACGTGTGTGTATATACTATATATCAGACAGAGTGCTGTGTAAGTGCGTGATGTAGGCTTGTTCAGGCACCTGCCAGAAACCTTGCATATTTCCCATGCAAATGCTGATTTGTTGACATGCCACCGCATGGGCTGCTGGGCTGGTTTGCATGAGGTGGAATGTCACTGATGGGGCAATGAGGTAGGAGAAGAGCGATTCTGACCGGAAGTGAGTGACTGGCTTTGGTGTTTAGGAAAGGAAGGTCAGCGGTGTTTGTCTTCTATTCACTGATGTTTGCTGGTGTCATCCACGCACAGGTCATCTCAAGATCCTCCTGCTCTGTCCAGGTGGAACAGCTTTGCGTCAAATGTCTCAATACCATCTGATGTCAGGTCTGGTTCTCCTGAACAACCTTCCCCACCTGTCGATCATTTACTTTAAGACTTTAATTTGTTGGTATTCCTGTTAATGTTGTTTTTGTTTTGTTTTGCAGTGTAATGGACGTGTTGAACATATTGCAGGATGACCCTGAAGAACTGTTGCTGGATTTGGGTTTTGGCACTGAAGAGCCTGACATTACAGGGAGAATCCCAGCCCGATTCCTCAATTACCAGTCCTGCGCTCGTGGCATCAGCTTTCAGCTCTTTCTGGAAGCTCAGCAGAACCGAATGGACGTTGAAAACGAGGATGTCAGAAGTGAGCAAGTTTCGTCAAATTCACACAAAAATGTGTCATTTTTTTACTCAACCTCACATTGTTTTAAACTTATATGACTTTCTTTCTTCCATGGAACTCAAACAGTGAATTTCTTTAGAACATTCTTGGCACTGATTCAGTATAATGAATGTGAAAGAGGACTGGGGATGTCAAACTCCAAAACCCCCCCCCAAAAAACATATATTAGTTTAGGTCTAAGAAGAACTGAAATATAGTGCATAATACATATGGACCACATTTTTTAAAATGATGATTTTATGGTACTTTTTAATCCTTTTTGAAGCTTGAAATCTCTTTTATTAATATTAATATTAAATATGTTTCCTTTCCATGGAAGAAATAAGGCATTCATAATTTTTGAGGAGTGAATTGCCCTTTTAAATATCTTTTCTTTATTGCCACACTTTTGGCATTGGAATCTGTTCTCGCTGCTTAACTATTCCATTCCATGCCGATCCGGACCAGCTGGTATGGATATATATACAGATATATATATATCGTTTTAATCATGCCATGCCATACCAAGCTCAAGTGGAAATATAACTGGAAAATTACCATTCTTAAAAACATTCAGCCTGATGCAGCTTATCGTTCCATAGAAGTTAAAGGTGCAGTATGTAATATTGACAGCTAGCGGTTGAAATGTGTACTGCAGTTCAAAATCAAAATATTGGAGAAAGTCGTTTCTCCTGCCCCCTCTTCCACAGACGCAACGATCACGCGGGTTGCCAGATTAGCACACACAAGAAGAAAGAGTGCAAGTAACTCACAATGGAAGACGATGAGCCTTACACTGCAAGTTGATGAGTTGATTTATCCAAGTTTTCATATGCCTCTGGTCAAAGAGCTTTTTGGATAGATGCAGAGGCTTTTTAGGTTGGGTAGAATCTGCGATCTCTGACCCAATTTGTTTGCTGGCTTCCATGGCTGCAGTCTGCCAATTGCCAACCCGGAGTGTTGAAAGACTATTGGGGAAATTGGCAGTGGGCGGAATCATAAAGACCAAAAACAAAAACAGACATTCTGAACACACATTTCAAAAATAGAATACCTGGCTGTAGCATTGATTTTCAGAGAAATAAGTATGTGAACAAACATGTGTCCTCAATTTCGGCAAACATATTATGGTATTTTATGCTTTAGTACAGTCAAAAATTTTCATAAAGCACCTTTAAAGGTTCTACATGGAACCATAGATTCCAATAAATAAGTTTATTTTTAAGAGTGTTGATTTCTCATTGCACAAATGGTTCTTTATACTGGTTATCTTTTATTTACATTAAGAAATAAACTCTTCACTAAAGCTATTTTGGGGAACCAAAAATGGTTCTTCTATGGCATCACTGAAAAATCCCCAATTTTTATTTTTTTAAACAGTACATAGGTGTTTTCAGAGGTTGAATGTGGTTTAAATATTGTGGGAAACAGCAAAAACAGAAGTTGACAATCATTTCCTGTACAGCTGTTGTGTGTTGAAAGATAAGCAGAGTTTTATGCAAATCTCTTTTTCTCCCGGCGTTCAGATCGGTTTAGACAACTCGAGGTTCTTCAGCAGGTCACCACGACGTTCTCCTCTCTGGTCGGTGCAAATACTCAGGATGTGGACACATCTACAGCCTCCCGGATGTCCGCAGAAGCACGAGAGAGGAGAAAACGCATGGTCATGATTCTGCGTAGAGCCTCCAAGAAGAGCCTCAGCCAAGCCAAAACGTTACAGAATCAGCACATGCCCCCTCCTTTGACCTCCTCAGCTCTATCCGGCCCAGAATCATCTGAGATGCCAATGGTAGATAAAAGGATCCCTTCCAAACGCACAAGGGTGTCGGACAACAGCTGTCTCTCCCCACTAGAAGAGGAGCAGAGCATTAATTCAGACTCAGCTGAGCCGGTTCTAAACAGCCTGACGGCAAGAGGAACATCAGACCTTCTGAAGCTTGACTCGTTCCCGTCTTCAGCCAAAGAGAGTCTGCAACGGCCTGCTGAATCTTTCGAGCTGGAAGAGGTGAAGTATTATTGATCTGCAATGAGGTCCTCTGTATTTACTTCCACATTGTTCCCTTTCTAATGTTGTTGACTGTTTCTCAGATCCAGAGTTTTGACGAAGGAAGTATTCCTGGGAGCTGCAATGATCCAGTGGATCCTGGAGGTGCATGTCGTTTTTAAAACACCCAAGCAACTGGATAGCAATGTGCTAACAACCACTTAGGACACTATAGCGACCGCACAGCAATGCCCTGCTAACTACCCCTAGCATTGTAGTGGCAAGTTTTGTACAGGCTAACACCTGTACTTCAGAAAAAGATAAAGTTTAAAATGCAATATTGTTCCTTTTGCTTCATGAAAAACGTACATTTTTAAAAGCCACGGTGTGGATTCAAATAATTTACTTAGATCAATTTCCATCTCTGATATTATGCAAATGACTCATGCGATTGTTCGGTCATTTTCATATGTGCAGCAGGCTGCATGCTGTATAGTTGAGGTAATATCCACCTAACCACAGTACTGTGGAAAATTGACTTGTTTGTTTAGTCTGATCAAGAGGCTTTAGTGTTCCTCTGAACGCTTGTGATATGTGGCCGCATGATAATAGCTCTTGTTTCCGTGTAGGTGAACGAATCGGATCTTATGTGATGAGAACGAACAGTTGTCAATCAGACAGCAGCGGCTTCCTAGAGGATCCCTTCATACCTGCGCTGTCCCAGCAAAACAACCCTGGACCCGAGCTCATGAAGGTAAGACGTGCTTCAGTTCTTTCTTTATTTACATACTGCAGAAGGTCTGAGTACCTATATTAATGGTGTTAGTAGTTTGTATCTGCTATTGTGTTAAATCTTGTGTTTTTTTCTGTGATAGAGAAATAAAAAAATACATTTTTTCTAAAACAATTTTCTATATATTTTCTTATTATTTATATATTACAATTTTTCTAAAATATCTTCATATATTTTCTTAAAATGTATTACACCACCACACAACTGTTTCAACATTGAGCAGCCAATCAGCATATAAGAATAATTTCTGAAAGATCATGTGACACTGAAGACTGGGGTAATGGCTGCTGAAAACTCAGCTTTGCATCACAGGAATAAATTACATTTTACAATATATTAAAATAGAAAGCAGTTATTTTAAATTGTAATAATATTTCCTAATAATATTTTACTGTATTTTTGGACAAGTAAATGCAGCTTTGACATGAGCGGCCAATCTCAACTAGTGTTGAGTTTGAGACGGGATCTGTTTGTTCAAACAAAACAGACAGCGAAGTGTTGGGGAAACCTGTTTGGATACAATATCTGTAGCCATTATTTTTACAGTTAGATTTGGTGCTTAGTGGAGCAGGCATTAAGCAATGTGGATATTTAGCACTTGCTTGGGTGTGTTTATTTGTCTGATTTCCCATGCTGCTTCTGCATTTTGCAGATGCTGAATGCAATATCACAAAATAGCACAGAGGATCAACAGATGAGATCAGAAGCTATAGATGAACAGAACTGTGAAACGGAGTCAAACCAAAAACACTCGCTTACGGCACACTCTGGCAAAACTGTTCTGGGAACAGCAGACTCTATGTTTGACTCAGGAGAGTTGAGGAAAATAATAAGTGAAAAAGAAAACTCTTTATCATCAGATATTAGTAAAGTTAGCAGTAATGGTGTTTACACTCTAGCATACTTTGTTCAAATGGATCCCGTTGGTTATCAGACTGAAATTTGTGACCGACTGCAAGGATCAGGAAGTCCAGACCAACGTGTTTATAGGGAAGGCATGTCCCTGTTTGAGGAATTGAAATCTGCCGAGAAAAACTTGCACTTGAGTCCTACTAATCTGAGGACAGATGTTGTGGATACCTTTACAAATAATCTTGAGCTGGGCAAAAAAGATCCAGCTTTGGATCTGATGCAGGAATCTCCAGCTTCTACCCAGGGCAAAACCGTGTCCTCTGATGCACCCTTTGGACACAATTCCCCCACAGCGCTCAAACTCAGGAGAGAGTCTTTCTCCAGGAAGTCCTGGTCTGATGTGATCACGGATAATGACTCGGGAACAGCACAAACACCCACCACACAGACACCGTTCACATCTGTGGACACATCTCCACCTCACTTATGGAACAGTGAGGAATGTTCTGGAGATCTTGGACGTTTGCGCACGCGGTCAATATCTTTGGACACGGGACTGTCGTATGAGGAGGAGGATCACAGACTGCAGGGCGCATTGTGGGCAGGGGCGCAGCGATGCTTCTACTGCGGGTCGCAAATTGGCTACGACAGTGGCTGGGCAAAACCTCACCCTGAGCTGTCCCCCAGTCTGCCTGTAAGTAGAAGTTACTCTTCAAATTATCATTATCTATGACGGTCTGAGGTGTAAAATTCCAATAATGCTCTTTTTTGTACATCCTAAATTATTAGGGATGCATGATATAGATAGCATATTGATTATTGGTTGATATAATATATATATATATATATATATATATATATATATATATATATATATATATATATATATATATATATTTTAAATTTAGATTGCCATCATTAAACACTCCCTTAAATTAATATTTTAAAACAATATTTTAATAACACTATTAAATATAATCTGTAGCAAATCTTAAAATGTTTTTCATACATACATTTCATACTGTACACTACATTGTACCATTGGTGAACTAAATTCACAATTTTATGTTTAATTAAGCAAAATGTTATAAATAGTATACATTTTTAATATTGGTCATATTTTATTGGTGCTTAATAAATAGATGAATTAATATATTGGTTATCGGCCATAACATTTACTGTAAGTAATGATTGTCTTTTCGCTATTTTACCAGAATTTTGTTGTTAGTGTATCCTTATAAATCATCCATCAGTGGGTTTCATTTATGAAAATTATTCTTTGTAAATAATTAAAAAAATTTTTACACAAAATGTTGCATTCAGCTCAATGCATAGACAGTTTACTTAAGAATTTCTGTGTAAAAAATTTTATGTAATGATGAAATTTCACCTTTCAGAGAAATGTGTTCTGCTGTTGCCTTTGAGGCCCATTGTTTTTATATTTGGTGTGATGGAAAAAACAACGACAACAAAAAACACTGGTTCCATCATATGTGGGAGGAGCTCCACATTTGAAGTATGGACTTCAGTGGGTTCTTTACCACTAGTAGATCTTTCCTCTGATTATAAAAACAAACTAAGATTAAACATTTCTATTCTGGGAAAAACTCTTCTGCCTCTTAAACAGGCAGAAGAGATTAAAAGCTGTACACTGCTTATGTTTAATAAGGCTCATTTGAATTTGTATGGTTCATTTGCATGTGTAACGGAAAACAGTGAACACTGACCACTTCAGAATCTTCACAGCCTTCAAGCACACACGCACCAGAATCCCCTTTAACTCACATCCTCGCTTACAAACACTCAACTGAAGCTACCTGCATTTGGAGGTCAGAGGTCACGAACAGCAAAATATTCCTTGCTACTGGAAAATCTAGCTAAAACCCCCTGGTTCAAGCCAGTTTTGTTTTAGTATCAGAGATATATTAATATTTTGAAATGAAATGAAATTCTGTTTTCACTCTCATTTTAGTTAATTTTGCTCTGCGTTTTTATTTCAATTTGAGTTATTTTAGTGCATCAAGTTAAACTAAATGAAAATGAGAAAAGTGGTCTTGGCAACTAGCTGAAATAAAATAGGATTAAGGTTTTTGAAAAAAATGTATTTCAGTTAATGTTTATTTTATTTCAAGTAACGCACATGATTTTTGTTGGTTTGGATTTTGTTAACTATAATAACCCTGGTTTGAGCTGGTTAATCAGTTGGACCTACCAGCTGGTGTGACTGACGTCATGTTTTAACCAGCCTCTAGCAATAAACCAGCTGTTACACACCAAAAACCAGCTTAGCTACTTTTAAAGACCTTGTTTTCCCAGAAGGGATCACACAGGAGCAGACAGATATCCTTTCTCTTTCTCTTTCCAGTACTCTCTGGATGAGCTTGAAGACATGGTGAAATGTTTGAGGAAGTTCCAGGCTGTTCTGACAGAAATTGAAGTGAGACTAGAAGAAGAACAAGCATCTGTGATCGGATCTCTGTCAGATTCCCACAGGTGATAACGAATACCGTTATAACGGATATCTCGCTGATTAATAGTGCTCCTCAATAGCATGCATTTTGCAGTGTGTAAAGTTGATTTTGTGTCTCAGGGAGGAAGTGGAAGATGTTCTGAGGCTACGAGCAGCTGTCAAACATGAAGCTGGGACACTTGAACAGCAGCTGTCTGATCTGGTACATCACTATGATGACAGCATTAAAATGGTATTCAATCTACTCATAAACTAAACATTAAATATGACTTATGGATCAGAAATTAGGGCTTGGGGCAAAATGCCACATTTTGACATAAAATGTTCCAAATATTTTAATATGGGGCAAAACACTTTCAAACGTGAATTTGAACCCACCAACATCCTTCAGCAGTGCAATGTATTGAATATACAGCAGAACATCATTTCTTTTATCCCTGTACTGTTATGTTTACAGAAGCTGAATCGGCTCATGGATGAACAGTCTCAGCTGTGCACCCAACTGCGAATTAGACCCTCTAATACAGAACCCACCTCAACCAGGAGCGTGGCCATTCAGTGCTGCCTGCCGCCCATCACGTCCAATCCACAGCGGTGTGTCCATCATCACTGCACCTGTCATGGGGCATGTCAAGATCCACACCGGTTCCCCTGTCAAACCCAATGGGAAGCTAATTGCAAACCAGACAGGCTGGACTTTGTAGCTTTTATTAAAAGTGTAAGAAACATCTTACAGTGTACCCTCATCATCAGAACAATTGGATCTGATAATGATAATGTCCCAACATGTTGTTAACTATGCAATTTTATCTTTCAGTTGAAAAATTCATTACAGCATTCAATCAACAATAACTCATTAGAATAAGGTTTGTTTTCTTCTTCAGTCTGAAATCAATTTAATTAAACGTAATGACCCTAAAAAATAATTTGTTGATAATTTATATCTTGCAACTTTTTTTTCTCTCAGAATTCCGAGTTTGCATCTAACAATTGTTTTTCTTTCTGTTTCTGACACAATTTAAAAAGGTGATTGTGACTTTTTTTTTAATCGCAAAATTGCAAGAAAGACATAATTGTGAGATATAATTTTTACATATATAGCTTTCGTACATATATCTGATAAACATTTGGTAAAAGACAAACATTTTATCGGGTCTAAATGGAATTTAATTTTACTTGAATGCAAACAACATACAAAATTAATAATTTTCAGTCTTTCCTTTCTTGTAGTGATGCAGCCATGCAGTGATGAAGACCTGTCGTCTTGTTTTTTTGGAAGTCACTTATAACGTGAAGTGCTGACTCTTGAGCACAGAACTAATAAAGAATTATGTATATAAACCATTATCGTGTGTCTATTTGTGTTTTTATGTGTGCACACACGTCTCTTATAATGTAGAGTGAACCTCCTCCCAGTAGCCTCACACTCTCTCGTTCCATCTCCCTCTTTATCTCTGTAATGAAACACTTCATATGTGGTGTTGCACTGACCATATAAGGAAACTGCTGCTCTCCTGATGAACCAGTGGATGACATAGTGCTGGTCCCCCTGTCTGACTGGACAAAGATCTGATGGTTCCTCCAGTGTTCCTGAGATGCTCGCCAACAGTTATGGCCCAGCCTCAGGAAATGTCAACGATACCATTTTCTGCTGAAAATGTCAGTACTGATTTATTAATAACTTCATTTAAGTTCATTGCTGAACCTTCAAGAAATAAAGTTTCACAATTGGGACTGTGGTGGACCATATAAGAGTTAATATTTAGAATATAGGCTACAGTATGGCTTTCTCAGTAGCCAATTCACCTCTTGAATTATATAGTACACATAATTCATAATTAAGTAAATACTGTTAGTATATATTCAGGTTTGGCGTAATACAGGTGCATCTAAAAAAATTTGAATATCATGAAAAGTTAATTTTTTTGTGTAACATTTCAAAAAGTGAAACTTTCATATATTCTAGATTCATTACATGTAAAGTAAAACATTTCAAAAGTGTTTTTGTTTTAATTTTGATGATTAGAACTTACAGCTCATAAAAGTCAAAAATCCAGTATCTCAAATTATTAGAATATTTACATTTGAGTGTCATTAAATTACCATCCCTACAGTATAAATTCCGGGTATCTCTTGTTTTTTGAAACCACAATAATGGGGAAGACTGCTGACTTGGCAATGGTCCAGAAGACAATCACTGACACCCTCTACAAAGAGGGTAAGTCACAGAAGGTCATTACTGAAAGGGGTGGCTGTTCACAGAGTGCTGTATCGAAGCATATTAAATGCAAAGTTGACTGGAAAGAAGAAATTGGGAAGGAAAAGGTGCACAAGCAACAAGGATGACCTCAAGCTTGAGATTACTGTCAAACAAAGCCGTTTCAAACACTTGGGAGAACTTCACAAGGAGTGGACTGCAGCTGGAGTCAGTGCATCAAGAGTCACCACGCTCAGACGTCTTCAGGAAAAGGGCTACCAAGCCACTTCTGAAACAGAAAAGACGTCAGAAGCATCTTACCTGGGCTAAGGAAAAAAAAGAACTGGACTGATGCTCAGTGGCCCAAAGTCCTCTTTTCAGATAAAAGTAAATTTTGCATTTCATTTGGAAATCAAGGTCTGGAGTCTGGAGGAAGAATGGAGAGGCACAGAATCCAAGCTGCTTGAAGTCCAGTGTGACGTTTCCGAAGTCAGTGATGATTTGGGGTGCCGTGGTGTCTGCTGGTATTGGTCCTTGTGTTTTATCAAGTCCAAAATCAATGCAGCCGTCTACCATGCTGATTTCCTTTTTCAGCAGGACTTAGCACCTGGCCACAGTGCCAAAACCACTTCCAAGTGGTTTGCTGACCATGATATTACTGTGCTTGATTGGCCAGCCAACATGCCTGACCTGAACCCCATATGGAATCTATGGGATATTTTCAAGAGAAAGTTGAGAAACAGTCGATCCAACCATACACATGCACTGAAGGCCGCTATTAAAGAAACCTGTGCTTCAATAGTGCCTCAGCAGTGCCACAGACTGATCGCTTCCATGCCACACCTCACTGATGCAGCCATTTGTGCTCAAGGAGCCCCGACCAAGTATTGAGTGCATAAATTAACATACTTTAAAGAATTTGAGTTTTTCTGTTTTGCAAATCCTTCTTTTTTATTTTTTTGATTGATCTTTTGAAATATTCTAATATTTTGAGATACTGGATTTTTGACTTTCATGAGCTGTAAGCTCTAATCATCAAAATTAAAACAAAAACAAAAAAACTTTTGAAATGTTTTACTTTGCATGTAATGAATCTATAGAAAATATGAAAGTTTCACTTTTTTAAATAAGTTACAAAAAATGAACTTTTTCACGATATTCTAGTTTTTTGAGATGCACCTGTAAATCAAACGTTATTACAAGTCATCATAACAGTCTTCCAAACCATGTTTTGTACAATAGCCATTCAATTCTTCGTCACATTCAAAATGTTTTGGGGAATGATACGGAGTTGAAGATCAGTGCTGCTGGTAAAAAATACTTTATGCCTACAAACTATTCACTGTTTTGACACGTAACACAGCTAAAGTATTGAGCTATACAATATAAGTGTGGAAATAATGAAATATTGAATAATTACACCGTAAGATACTTACCTGTTTGAATCGTTTTATCAGAAGTAGGCTACTTCGTTGTCACTTCCTCAGAAATTTAAAAATAATATTTTATTTCAAAATCGTTCTACTATGCCATAAACAAAGGTAAATATATAAATAATGTTCGGTATCTGTGTTTTTCTGTTAAATGCATCAGTAAAAAAAATATAATATTACGATAATTACAATAATGAGCCGTACGTGTAGCAGCTGCTTTCAGTATTTAGGGATCATGTATAAAGTGCCTCACTGTGTCCTTATTCAGTCAGAACAGGTTTTTACGTTTACATTCATGTTCTTGGCAGACGCTCCCTTGCCAGGCGTCAGGTTGGCATATGAACGGTTAAACATACAGTGTCGTGTTTAACAAGATGGTTCAGTGGATGAAAAATCATCAAAAACACTTCACACACTCTCCATACACACTCCACACGGGAGGAGGAAACCATTCGCATCAGAGGAGAATAGCAAAACATCAAAGACGGTCAGCAAACAATGTCCATATTGTTTTCCATTATTATTCATTTCCTCTTGTTCACGCTCTCCATTGAGCTCTTAATGAGTTATGGTCAGAGTTGGGGGTAACGCATTACAAGTAACGCGAGTTACGTAATCAGATTACTTTTTTCAAGTAACTAGTACAGTAATGCATTACTTTTTAATTTACAAGAGATCATCTGAGTTACTTTTTCAGATAAGTAACGCAAGTTACTTTTTTTCCAATTTATTGATTAACAGCTCTCCTGTCCCCATGTTGAGAGAAATCAGAAGATGCTACTTTAGTTCTAAAATAAATATGAATATGCATTAATTAACCTCACTCACAAAATGAAAAAACGGATTCAGTATTCTTCAAAATGAATTAAAAAAATGCTCAGAATATAACACAAACCTGCAATAATTAAATGTTAAACAACACAAATATCCTTTATGTATTTAATCCCATTCTATTAACCAATGTCTTTGCTTCTGACCTTCGATGATCCAAAAATAACTCTAGACAAACATTTGTGTGTCTTTTTTTATTGCTGAAGTGTGTTGAAATGTCTTCTTCTGCATTCTACTGTACGGATGTAAATTTACATTTCCTTCAGCCTGAGGCTGATTCATTTCACTTTTGGTGTGAAAAGACTTTTATATTTGCCAAAAATAAAACTTTTTTTAATTTTAAAAACAAACAAGCAAGCCCTATCCAGATTTAAAAAGTAACGCAAAAGTAACGTAACGCATTACTTTCCATAAAAAGTAACTACGTAACGTAATTAGTTACTTTTTATGGAGTAACGCAATATTGTAATGCATTACTTTTAAAAGTAACTTTCCCCAACACTGATTATGGTGAGTGTAGATGCGTCACAAACTGCAAAAATTGTCATATTAAACATTATTATTTATGAAGTGGTATGTTTTAATTAGATATGGACACATTTAAAATCAAAAGCAAATGAAGTAGGGATCACTGCATTGAAAACATCGTCTTAACACAATCCATCTGAACTACCTCACCTCCATCATGTTTGAATCACTGCTTAAAAATGATTGAAGTTGTTTCATTAACCTCGATGACGTGCGTTCATGGAAGCAGGGATGATTGACACATGACAAGGACCTCTGTCACCATGACAACAGGCTCTAATGGAGACAGAACTGGGGGAGGCCCCTCCTCCTGAAGTACATAACCCCTGTCTTTGATCTGGCCTGCACTCGCTCTCCGTCTCTCTGCTGCACTGAGGTAAGGTCTCTCTCTCTTTCTTATAATTCACTTCTTTAGTTCTTTTCTGGATCTAAAGATAATTACCAACATATTTCAGAAAATGTTAATTGATTAATAAATTATATTTAAATGAGTATATACCGTGTTTTTTGGAGTATTTAAACATAAGTACATGAGTAATTTTTGTTTCTTATGTTTTGTAATTTATTACCATTTTTATTATTATTATTATTATCATAGATAGATAGATAGATAGATATATATGTATATGCTATTTTATTATGTATTATGTTTTAATCGTAGATGGACACACCAAATCAGAAGCAAATGTTACTTATTACTTATTCACTTATTTAAATATTATTTATATATTTTTGGATATATAAGATGCATTTCAGGTAATAAATGTAATACATTTAATTTAATGTAATTTAAATTTAAACAAAATGGTTACAGTATATATATACTGTAAAAAATGAAATGAAAAATAAAAACTAATAAAAAAATTACATACGTATATATATATATATATATATATATATATGAATGTAATTTTTTTGTAATATTAATATATTTGCTTTGCATGTGAATAAATGCAATACTAATATTTATCAGAGAAATACAAATAAATGAAAAAAAAAATAGAAAAAGATGTGTTTTTATGTACCAAAAGTATTTTTTCATTGCTGTTGGTGTTATTTTTGTTAGCTGACTGAGACTCAAATGTAAATTTAGCACATTTTTATTTTCCCTGTCATGTAATTTCCTGGAGAAAGTACATATTGTCTTGGAAAAATGAATATTAACATGGAATCAAACACATTATGTTTTTTTTGTCTATCTAATATGATGCATTTAAATATAGTGCTTTAACATGACATAATTAACCATAATACATAAAACTAACTAATAGCATTAAATTCAGAGCCCAAGCAGATATAAAATGATCATTTTGTGAAGTGAGAAGCTGCTTTTGTTTAATCAGCTTCAAACATTCAGTAAATATGCTTTCCAGTAAATATGACAGAGCCTTTGTCATGTATATGAGTGTGTGTGTGTGTGTGTGTGCTGAACACGAGCTGTTATCTGATACCTGAACAGACTGCTGTGGGGAGCATGTCCACTGACTGTGTGAGGTCACTCTCAGACAAAGCCGAACACACACTCACCATGCATGAACATCTCTGTGAGTACCGCAGCCTGTTTTTCACTGCATTTCTGCATGCACAACCTTATTTTTTTAAGGAAAATAACTACATATTGATAATAGAAGGGTCAAAATATGGGTAAACAGCATCCAGTGGAAGTAACAAAGGCGTAACAGATGGCGACAGTCTGACTGATACATACAGACCAGCAGTGTGAGCCTGTTTCTGAAATGTTCTTCTGCAGATGGGAACACTGAAATGGACAATCAGAAGCACAGCTCCGAGGAACATCAGCAGGATAATCTGGGACAGAAGAAACCCCGCAGGAAAGACACTCCCGTACTCAACATCCCTCCACTCATACCAGGCAAGACTTTGATTTCTCGCGTTCTCACTTTCATCCTTTCACTCAATCACCCTCTCCAGCCATCTCTCGCTGTCTCTTTGTCTCAGTTCTTTGCACTTTTCTTTTGCAGGCGTGAGACTGATGAAGACAGAGGCTCGAATGATTCATCAGGAGGATGAGGAGAAGGAGATGAAGAAGTAGATGTGTTTCAAACATTTGGTTTTTATTGTTGCTAGTGTTATTTTTGATTGTCGTCTGAGCCTTCATTAAATGTAGGTTTTGCAGATATTTTTTGCGTTGTCATTTCGTCACTTGAGCGTTACACTGTATAAACAACTTGGAATGATGCAAAGAACATATTTTAATTACAACATGAACATCGTAGCGTAAAGGTTGGAAAAGTGTGAATTAGGTGCATGTGTTTTATCACTCATGTCATATGGACAGCAGAGACGATATTTGTCTAAATCAACCTAAAGAACTATTATAATAATTCTGAAAGTGGTGCCAACATAGTATGTACATGTACGGGTGTTTCAGTGTGTGATTAAAACCCATTTAATCCCACCATTCACAATAGTGACCGTAAAGAAGGTTTTCATTTATAAAGCTCTAAAAATGTTACCGACTGGTGTTTTAGTGCATTTTCTGTTTTCTTTTAGTGAATTTTCTAGTGCATTAGTGTATTCCTATCAGTGTTGTATAAGAGTTTTTATGCATAGTAACCCTATAGAATGTGATGAAACAGAGTTTAAAATAGCTGGGCTGAGATATATCTAAATTTTGACGACTGCAGATATATGTTAATTCAGTTACACATTATCTCACTAAATACTTGAGACAAGTATTTTTAATCTCAAGTTACACCATTGTAACTGACCATAAAACAAATTTTTTCACACACTTTTCCAAAAAAGAATAAAAAAATAATTATTGATTATTTCAAAGGGTTACCAATTGCAAATAAAAAATTTGGGATTAAACAGGTTAAGTATAAAACAGCAGATTACATTAATTGGGTAAATCTCAAGAAACCTGTCAAGAACATGTCCATGTCATATTTCACCCCAAAATCAAAAGAACAAAATGTGAATTATGGTAATTAAATAAAATGATATATATATATATTATTTTTTAAAAATTTGTATCACTATTTTTTTTATGGAATGTGCATCACAACTGAAAATAAGAATGACCAAAACTAAGAAAAATTATATGGGTGTGTGTGTGTGTGTGCGCGCGCGTATATATAATATTACAAATAAAAAATAATTTATATATTGCTCAATTAAGCAGATTTTCCTCCCCAATTCTTATTACGGTTAAAAGAAAGGAAAACTATAAAACATTGTTTTTAAAGTACTCATTCATCATGGAAGTTGTAGTGCCTTTAGTTTATGTTGATATAAATACTAAATAAACTGGCATGGGAAGTATAGTATATTTTTTTATGGGAATGAAATTAAAAACATAAAATACTGTATTAAGGCAATGGGCATCACAATTGAAAATAAGAATTCAAAAAATTTCTAAAATAATTATATATTATACATTCAAATGTAAATAAAACGTGAATTAAAAAATAAATAAAAATACAAATAAATGTTCCTTTTTTACTTTTTTTTAATTTGTCTGTATACACTACAGTAATAAGAATTTTCAGGGAAAGTGCTTAATTGTCAAAAACTGTCATAATGCAAAAATCATATTGGTCGTAAAATAGACTGTACTATCTTCATGCAAAATATAATTTTTTTTTTTTGATTTTGGGTTGAAATAGCATCACTCAACTCCATCATCAGTGCAGAACAGACAGAAGTGTGTGTGCTACAGGTAGGGTCACCTCCCCCGTCTCAGAGAGATGCTCTGTAGGTGTCTGGCCCTGCTACGGGGGTCTGTGGGTTTGCTGTCCTCTTTCTGCGGGCGGGAGGGCAAGTAGGAGTTGGCACAGTAACTGGGTTTCTTACTGTATCTGACCAGGTGGTATTTGCGGCGAGTCGAGGCTGCAAAAAACAGAGCAGATTCTTAACAACCATTCTGTTAATACAGCTTTTGTACATTTTTAAAACATAAAGATCAAATATATCAAAATAAACACTCAAACTCGTCATCTGAGCCCTTTGAGTAAAGATTTATTGTCACAAAAGTGCAATTAAGGAGCATCGAAACAAGCATGATCACATGACCACACCTGCCTTATGGTTTAAATTTTTTTTCTTTTTGAAATAAAAAAGTAATGAATGGGTCAACGACATTAATGTAGAAAAAAATACTTCTCATGGCAAATTATACTTTGGGAAGTAATAAAAAGGTTAACGAAACAATGTGTGGATCTCAAAATATGTTTGACGGCAGTGATGCAGTACACTAGATAGCCAACAGATGACTGTACAGTATGATTTATGTCACTAGTGCACTGCTGATCAGAGTATCCTTTTATTTTACTAATAGAAGTTAGTATGTGTTTGATTGCAGGAGAAGATACGCTGTATGTGAGGATTAAAAAAAAAAAAAAACTAAATTAAAAATAGCTTAGTTTTGACATAAACACCGGTTTCCTGGCAAACACATATGTACTCAACTGAGCCGAACACATGCCAGTTACTACAAAGCAGAACTAAACACACTTATTAAGGCAGAATCTCACTGTGCCATATTTACTCATCAACTTCAATATTCTATAAATGTACATTTCACTTACATAATTTCACATTCTGAGCCTAAATGTGCTAAACATGAGGTTAAAAAAGAACTTTCAAGATTTGAGGCAACCACTAGTGCACTGCTGATCAGAGTATCCTTTTATTTTACTAATAGAAGTTAGTATGTGTTTGAATGCAGGAGAAGATACGCTGTATATGAGGATAAAAAAAAAAAAAACTAAATTAAAAATAGCTTAGTTTTGACATAAACACCGGTTTCCTGGCAAACACATATGTACTCAACTGAGCCGAACACATGCCAGTTACTACAAAGCAGAACTAAACACACTTATTAAGGCAGAATCTCACTGTGCCATATTTACTCATCAACTTCAATATTCTATAAATGTACATTTCACTTACATAATTTCACATTCTGAGCCTAAATGTGCTAAACATGAGGTTAAAAAAGAACTTTCAAGATTTGAGGCAAGACATTTCTAAAAACAGTTACAGTCAGAGAACGTGTAACTTAGTATGGACTCAGTTCATCCAGCAAAGAGGTTTCTTAATCAGCATTGTGTTGTTTTACATCAAAACATTCTTAAAACAAAGATCAAATGAACTGGACAAGGTTTGTTTTCAGAGAATATATTTTCAAATGATACTTTTTCTTCTTTCAATTCATAAAACTCTCTATATGCTATTTGATTTCTGCATAAAACAATATATATATATATGGCTTGTTTTAAGAATGTTTAGATGTTTTGCTGGAAAAATATGATTAAGAAAATGATATTGGCCGTATGTCACCAACTCTCTGCTTCTGCTCGTGGGAATTTAATAGGAAAGGAGGGGCAATAAACAAAATAAATAAAACAAAATATCACTATAATATTCATAATATTTTATAGTGGCACAGTATCAACCAATCAAATGTGCTTTGCAAAGTTCAGCCTCACAGCTGAGAAGAGCAACATGCTGACATTCACAACTCTCCAGTAAAATAAAAATGTTGAAATCACTTCAATGTCTCTCAGAGATGAAGAAAGCGTTGACATAAGCACGGAAAAAAGCAAGCTCAAGATATGTGTCATGACTCAGAACTGAGTCAGAGAAAGATGACTAAACAGGAAGATGAACACAAATAATCTATGAATGACAACAGATAATAATTCCCAAGGATTTGTAATTAATAATAGATTTAAGGCAACAATGCTTCCTTCTTTATCTTTCTTTCTTGCTTTCTAACCAATGATTCATAGAAGTATGCATGAATGATGGTTTGCGATGACCTCCAGATAAATGACGTACAGACATTATATTCATCTTTGGTTGAGGCAACAGAGACATTTACACTGGATTTTGCTGCTTATTTATAACAGCCTATTTACAAGAAGCCTTTTTTTGTAGTTTTCTGCATTTTACAATTTATATATGAAAAGATTCACATGAACATGTGCATTATACTCTGAGAAGATGAGCGGCACAGACAGGGACATAAAAACCTCGCTAGCACAGTGAACTAAAATGTAATATCAGCACGCAGCACCTGACTGATCAAGATGCTCATGCTAAAATGTGCTTTAATCTATTTCCTCATTTACCAGATTGAAAAATAAAAATAAGATCATAATTCTCTCAGAGATTTGAGTAAGCATGAATAGTACACCTTCCTACAATTAATCTATATTGTTCATTGTTCATACCAAATTTCCCTATAAACACTTAATACATAATATAATCTTTTATATACATTCAATACAAAAATAGAAGAAAATTCAAAACACAACCTAATGTGAAAATTATAAAATTTACTAAATTTTAAGATCTTGAACAGCTGACAACCTCCGCAGAGGTTTAAGAGAGAAATTGGCCCATCAGATTTGGCTCATAATAACACAGATAATCAGATATAATTTGTTTTTTAAAAGGGCAGCTGTACCTTCATTAATTTTAAAGGAATAGTTCACATAAAAAAATACATTTGCTAAAAATGTACTCACCCTCAGATGAGTTTGTGTTGTCATCTAAACAGATTTGGAGAAATGTAGCATTACATCACTTGCTCACCAATGGATCCTCTGCAGTGAATGGGTGCCGTCAGAATGAAAGTGAAAGTGACGTGACATGTGGCCAAGTATGGTGAGCCATACTCAGAATTAGTGCTCTGCATTTATCCCATCCAAAGTGCACACACACAGCAGTGAACACACACACACACCGTGAACACACACCCGGAGCAGTGGGCAGCCATTTTTTTTTTGCTGCGGCGCCTGGGGAGCAGTTGGCGGTTCGGTACCTTGCTCAGGGGCACCTCAGTCATGGTATTGAAGGTGGGAGAGAGCGCTGTACATTCACTCCCCCCACCTCCCTGCCGGTGCGAGATTCGAACTGCAACCTTTGGGTTACGAGTCCGACTCTCTAACCATTAGGCCACGACTTCCCCTATGAATGAGTATTAAATTACAGTTAAAATGTCTTAATGATGGACTTCTTACAAACATGCAGCTTTTTACTTCACAAGACATTAATTGATGGACTGGAGTGGTGTGGATTATTGTGATGTTTTTATCAGCTGTTTTCTGACGGCACCCATTCACTGCAGAGGATCCATTGATGAGCAAGTGATGGAAAGTGACGTGACATGTGGCCAAGTATGGTGAGCCATACTCAGAATTAGTGCTCTGCATTTATCCCATCCAAAGTGCACACACACAGCAGTGAACACACACACACACCGTGAACACACACCCGGAGCAGTGGGCAGCCATTTTTTTTTTGCTGCGGCGCCTGGGGAGCAGTTGGCGGTTCGGTACCTTGCTCAGGGGCACCTCAGTCATGGTATTGAAGGTGGGAGAGAGCGCTGTACATTCACTCCCCCCACCTACAATCCCTGCCGGTGCGAGATTCGAACTGCAACCTTTGGGTTACGAGTCCGACTCTCTAACCATTAGGCCACGACTTCCCCTATGAATGAGTATTAAATTACAGTTAAAATGTCTTAATGATGGACTTCTTACAAACATGCAGCTTTTTACTTCACAAGACATTAATTGATGGACTGGAGTGGTGTGGATTATTGTGATGTTTTTATCAGCTGTTTTCTGACGGCACCCATTCACTGCAGAGGATCCATTGATGAGCAAGTGATGTAATGCTACATTTCTCCAAATCTGTTCCGATGAAGAAACAAACTCATCTACATCTTAGATGGCCTCTGAGTGTGAGTACATTTTAATTTTTAGATTAATTATTCCTTTAATACATATAGTGGGGTTCAAAAATCTGAGGCTAATTTAGTATTTTTCCAATTTAATGCAAAAAAATAAATTGTTTAAAATTTAAATTTTTTAAAAATTATAATATACAAAATGTAATATATCAAATAATATATTAACAATTTGAGTGAGAAGCTCAAAAATGTATATTAATATTTACTAATTAAATATATATTTCTAATGTTACATCATAACACTTAAATTTTGATATATTACTTTTTTTTTTTTAAAGAAAACACCAGATTTTCAGTGTGGCCTCATACTTTTGGACCCCTATAAGCATTCATTTTCTTTGTAATTTCACAATATCCAACTGACGTAGATATATGTTGTGCAAATCACATATAACAAAATCATTTGAATAGTTGTCAAACTTGTCATATTGTGACAGAACTGAGCTATTTGTGAAAAATTCTTCTATGATCAAAGTGACACTGGCATGGATATTGGCAAAGGATTATGGGTCATTATATTAACGATCAAACCCTCAATCACATACACGGTTTGATATGAAGAAGCTCCTGAAAGCATATGTACAGAAGACACACACGATGGAAACTGTACAGTATCATACACAGAACAAAAAAAAAAAACAGGATGACAGCAACATCAAATTTACGACTAACAAATAAAAATAAGAGGTAAATGAACAGCAGTTCTGCAGACATTCTTTGGACACGGTAACCGTTGAAGGTGATATGGTTGCATGAGCGCTCTAAGGAACTGAAGTTCTTTGAAGTTCTCCATTCACTGTCTGTGCAGGTTTGGCGCTTGAGTGGTCAGCAGATGTCGTGTTGTCCCGAGGGAAGAACATCAGCTGGGTTGGTCTCCTTCAACTTGACACGGGACACATTTCATCTTCATGCGTGTGGCTTTGGTGCCAACAGTTTCCAAAAGCTACCGCAGCACCATGCATGACTTTTGTACATCCGTTTCATGCCAAAGTCTCAGTTCTCTATGGTTTTGTGTATCTCTGAACCAAAACCTGGAGTGCATCCTTGAAGACAGATGTGAATTACAGAAAGTATGAAAAAATAAACTCCATCAGAGACAAAAAGATCTGATTTTAAAATGTGAAATGTCCTCAAAAAAAGAAAAGAAAAGATGAATAATAAAAAATAACCACCAGGTGACAGCATAGTACAGGATTTGGAGTGCTGTTAGTCTGCATCAGGCGCAGATGCAGCGGCTGCACTGTCTGCCAGTGAAGAGGGGGAGATCCCACAGTGACTGTGCTCGTCTTCTGAGTCTGCAGAGGAGAGCAGATATTTGGCACATTTAGAGCTCCTGTTCCACAGCTCTGACTGATGTCTGACAGGGGAATGAGGTGCTATGACAACTGACATGCCACATGATGGAGAGATGAACTAAACACATATATGGATAGTCTTTGTCTGTAGTTGTATACAGTACAACATCTCTCACTGTCTACTGTATGCTGACTTTATCATCTCAGAAAAGGTGATTTTGAAGGTTTCATAATGTTTTTGGATGCTTCAATGAAAAGTGAAAATTTGATCATCATGTCAATCCAAACCCATGTGATTGCCTTTCTTTAGTGGAACACAAGAGGCATTACTTTGCAGAATGTCTGTTCTTTCATACAACAAAAGTGAACTGGGATGGGGGCTGTCAAGGTAAAAAAAATGACAAAAAAGCATCAAAGATGCATTTAGCTCAGTTTGACATCAACGACTATTGATCATGTTGGAAACAATGAGGTCTGATATTAAATCTGTGACGACGGATCTTGACGCAGCATGTTTGAAAGCACTGCAGAACAAGTATTTTTGTCTTATTTTCCAGTTAAAATATCTATGAATCCTTGAATCCATATATAATACTGTGCAAAAGCTTGGGGTCAGTTTTACATACACGCACACGCACACGCACACACACACACACACACACACACACACACACACACACACACACACACATAATATTTATATATGTTTCTTGAGCAGCAAATCAGCATATTAGAATGATTTCTGAAGGATCATGTGACACTGAAAACTGGAGTAATGATGCTGAAAATTCAGCTTTGCATCAAAGGAATAAATTATATTTTAAAAATATATTCAAATATAAAACGGTCATAATAAATTGTAATAATATTTCACAATATTACTGCATTTACTGAATTTTTTACTTTTACTTAACGAGCAGGTAAAAATATCTCAAAGCATAGTAAAACAAAACACATTTCTATTAAAGATAAAACCTAGGATAAGTTTTAATATCTTATGCAGTGTTATGAAGGATATTTAAATATTTCACTGAAAAACAAGTTTAAAAAAAGGACAAAAAAGTCATTTTCTGCAGTGAGGGTAAGCACTTTTAGTGGATAATTTTAAGTTCAGTTTTTAATTTTTTTATTCAAATTTCATAATTTAAATGGCACACAAAACTATTGTACATAGTGTATAAGTCACATGGACTACTTTAATTGTGCTTTTTCTTTTTTGGACCTCCTTTTTGTCCTTTTTTCAGAGCAAGAGCCCCATTCACTATATGGACAAAAAAAAAAGGTCCAGGACATCGCACCTGAAAGGAAGTCATACAGGTTTGGAAGAACACAAGGCCAAGTAAACGGATTAATTTTTAGGTGAAATGCAGAGGTGAAAGAAAATGTGTGAAGGTATCAAATCACTATGGGTTTTTCTGCCAGTTATCCTTGATGAGAGGAAATGAACCTAAAGTAGCTGTCCTGCTCATAGCGGCTGATTCACATTTGACATACTATCCGTTCTAAATAAGTATGAGATAAGGAGTGTCACAAATCATAATCTGTTTTTAAAAAAAGTATGCCAAAGGTGCTCGGATAATAAAATACTTCCATTGGATTTTAGAGGAATGTACCCTTGTATGTTTTTTTTTTTTGGACTGATATGACTCCCAAGATTATTATTTTCTCTTTATTATGTGAGTGCAGTTTTATGATGCTGTAGTCACTATTGTACACTGTGTCCTAACCAGGTGCAACACAATAAAACAAGTAATAAAAACTTGTAACATTTCTTCCATGTTCTGAGTTTTTTGTTACAACCAGTTGTGACTGTGACAAAAACAAGACAATCTTAGTTTAGACTTCTGTCATGATGATATATGTAGCCCCGTCCACAATGAAACATCACCCGATATGTTCTGATTTGCAGTGATTTTTATTTTGAGTGTGGACAGACTTGTTACTGCAAACTTGTTGAGTCACGGCTGGTTAGGACACAGAGCCGCAAATTAGGCTGCTAGTATGCAAATTAGTATTCAGCTGCTATGTGATGCCAATAGCAGTTAAAGGAGATGATGGTGTTACCGTCCGCTCTCTTGCTTTCACTGTCGTCACTGTCAGGTGAGTTTAGTTCCTCGTTCCCTGACATTCAGATAAGACACGGGTCACTAACTGAGTCTGCTCAGGGCAAACAAACAAAAGAAAACACAAGGGCTTTTCTAACATAAACAACCATTTGTCTGCTACACTAACCGTTTAACAGTACTACTGCTCTGCGGTCTTTCTGGAAACGTTTTGAATAAGTATCCTTAGTCGTATCCTTCTTTTCAAGTTTTAGTAAGACATGTCTGACAAGAACATAAATGCATATACACTACAGAATTCAGCATACTGCAGCACACAGCGATTTCAAACCACAATATATTACAGCACTAGTAAGTAGTATACACTAGTTAGTATGCTTGCTTGAGGACATCAGACACTACACATTACATGACACTCTATACACCACACAGCACACTATAAATTGTAGAGTACAGTATAACCTATAGAGCACACTACACAACATGGACCACTCTGTACACTACAAAACACATAAGAATAAGAATTTAAGTGTACTACTGTACAAGTATACTAGAAACACTTAAGAACAAAACCACCGTCTTTTCAACATGTAAACGTTTGGCTGTGATAGTGCTTGGTTACAACAAACACAAAGGTAAGCAAGGCAAAAGTGGTAAAGCAAGTATAGTACAGTTTATGGTAGTGATAGACCTATATATATTGGCCCATATTTAGCCATATTGAAATACTGATTATTAGCATAGTATGATAACTGTGTTCGATTACTCGACATATTCTATTCACAAATCTTTTTCTTTTCATTTTTTAAATTCATTTTGAGAAAATATTGTGTAAATTACAATTACACAGTATTTTTTAATTCATTTTGAGGAAATATATTTAAATTAATTTAATTTGGAAAATATAAAAGTTATTTAAATTCTGCAATTTCATTACTTTTCTTTGGACATTAAATAAATACATAATGTAATAATAAAAATGTGACCCTGGACCACAAAAGCAGTCTTAAGTCGCTGGGGTATATTTGTAGCAATAGCCAAAAAAACATTGTATGGGTCAAAATTATCGATTTTTCTTTTATGCCAAAAATCATTAGGATATTAAGTAAAGATCATGTTCCATGAAGATATTTTGCAAATTTCCTACCGTAAATATATCAAAACATCATTTTTGATTAGTCATATGCATTGCTAAGGACGTCATTTGGACAACTTTAAAGGCGATTTTCTCAATATTTTGATTTTTTTGCACGCTCAGATTCCATATTTTCAAATAGTTGTATACCGGCCAAATATTGTCAGATCCTAACAAACCACACATCAATAGAAAGCTTAATTTCAATTTCGGAAAAATTTACATTTAAGACTGGTTTTGTGGTCCAGGGTCAAAAATAAACAATATTATTAAATATTTAAAATATTATTTGTAATTATTTATGTTTTTTTTTTTAAATCTGCTATCAACCAGCCAGTATCTAAATATCATTATTGGCTTTGGCCATTATCAAAACCCATATTGGTCAACCACTAGTTTACATCACGCACATTTTTTATGACATTATACATTATATATATATACTGTATGACAGATATATTGTCAATAATAATAATGACAATATTATTAAAATAATTATCAAAACCCATATTGGTCAACCACTAGTTTATATCATGTATAAGGTAAACCAGTTCACCAAGTATCGGTCAGTACAGTTCTTTAGGTTTAGAAAAAAAGTTAGACACAAAAGGCACTGCATTTTGTTAGAAATATGAACATGATATCCAAATATCAGGATATAACTGTAAAATTAGTTTAAATGATCTAATAAAAAAAAAAATCAACAGATTTGTTGAAAACTTTGACACTCACCGGTGTGTGCTCGCTTACTGTTGTCCGTGTCACTGCTGGTCTCGGGGTCTTTGGCGTCAGACGCTGGTGTTTGAGCCCCATTTACCCCCCCTGGGTCTTTATTGCCCTCTTCCTCTCTGGGCTGTTGCTCTGTTGGCTCCTTGTTATCGACAGCAGCTTCTCGATCTGTCTTTGAATCCTTCTCTTGTCTTGTGTCTTCCGTGTTGATTTTGTCTTCTTTTTTAGAATTATCGCCTTTGCTGTCACCGCTTTGTGTGTCTGTATCGGTTTTATTATCTTTCTCCTCGTTCTCTTCTTGTTTGGCATTCTCTTCCAGATCTAACACACACAAATTCAGTTCCTCATTGCTGGCACTGTGAAAATGAGGTCACTTCAAGCATGCAAAATTTCTTGAAACAAGTGCTGTCAAAATTAGTGTGTTAAAGCATGCGATACATTTTTTCAGTTTAATGCGTTAAAAATATTTAATGCAATGAACACAGGGGTGGAGTTGGGTTGGCCACCCCAATCAAAACAGCTGCCTCTGTTTCTTTTTTCTTGACAAGAATTGCATTTATTTATATGCAGAACGTTTTTACGACCACATGTAACGGGAGACTTTTCAGACGTACGCTCCAAATTCACCTCAGCACCAGGCGCTAGTCAAACGAGCCCGGAAAAGATACAGGTGACGAGGAGCTTCAGTAGAACAACAGTGAACTGCGGTCAGATAATTAAAAAAATTATTGTATGATGTTTTGGATACACTAATTGTTCAGAAGTTGAGGGTTTGGTAAGAATTTGTATTGTTTCAGAAAGAAGTCTCTTATGCTTAGCAAGGTCGTATTTATTTGATCACAAATTTACATCAAAACAAGCTAAATTGATAAATATTATTACTATTTAAAATGACTGTTTTCTATTTTAATATATTTAAATATATAATTTATTCCTGTGATGCAAAGCTGCATTTTCAGCATCATTACTCCAGTCTTCAGTGTCACATGATCCTTCAGAAATCATTCTAATATGCTGATATTTCCTCATACTATCAATGTCGAAAGCAGTTGTTCTGCTTAATATTTTTGTGGAAACAAGTTTTTTCAGTATTCTCGATGAATAGAAAGTTCAAAACAACAGCATTCATTTGAAAAATAAATCTTTTGTAACATTATAAATGTCTCCACTGTAAATTTTGATCAATTTAATAAGTCCTTGGTGACTAAAAGTATTAATTTCCTTGGGGGAAAAAAAAGTCTCTCAGTCTGTGACATTTAGATAGTCTTTTGCTCAAACACTATTTGAATTCACAGGTCAGAGTTACCACATCTTTGCATTTCCGTTCTCCTGCATTTGCATAAGTATGAATAGAAATTAAAGAAACAGGATGCAATGTTGCCAGGTCTGCGTTTTTCCAGTGTAATTGGGATACTTTAACACTGTTGCCACTGTTGGCTTGAAACGACCCCAACAACGTGATATTTAGCCCCTGGAATGCCAGGGGAACCCTGCCAAAAAAACATGTATTTTACCCCCTGGAACGCAATCAGTATCGGTGGAATCCCCCACCGATTTTTTAAGTTTGTTAAGCTCAAGCTCTTGAATCTTTTATTCATAATGAATTCGTTTATATTTCTGAACGACATTATATTTGAAGCTAGATTTGTACAGTTTCTGAAGAGACGAGTACTGCTTGGCCTTGCATACTAAGGCATTGTAAATGAGTGCCAGGGTATTGCTATACGACTGATAAGGTGTTCTATGTGGTTGCTAGGGTGTTTCAGCAGTTGCTATGGCTTTGCTTACTGCCCCAAGTCATAAGAGCCCTTACTCTCATGATTTTCTGGTCTTTAGATATGGCCCGGATCTATTGTCCAACCAGTGAATCACTATTTATTTATGTTCAGCATAAGTTACAAGCCAGATTTTAATATTAAGTGTTAGGGGTTTGTTTAATTCCCTATCCCTTAGTATGAGCAACAGGAGCAAGCGTTACTAATAATTTACAGCACAACATCTCGATTTTTGTTGAAAGTGTGTGTGTATATGTATGCGTTTATACCTTTTGCGGCTTGTGCTTTCCATTTTTCTCTGTTTATATGCACTTCCTCATTCCAGGTGCTTTTGAAGGTCTTAAAATCGACAGCGTTTACGGAGCAGTTCAGGGAAGTGCCGCCCTCCGAACCAGTGCTTCTAACAGTAGACCGTTTACCATCTGACGGGATGTTATTCAGACTGCACAAACACAAACATGAACACACAGAGTGAGCTTATACCTAGCTTCCAGAAAATGTTTGTCTTTAGATTATATGGAAGTACAACACTTTTAAGTGCAATGTCATTAGCTGTCAAGCTGATGAAAGATACCAAGCGTTTTTATGACTAGATACGGGATGTGTGTTCATTGGGACAAATACTACATTACTCACCTGACACCCAGGCATGTTTGGTAGTTCACACATACTGACATAATGACCTCATAAAAGTGTATGGTGGAAGTAAAGTAGCAGGTTATTAACAGAAAGATTCAAGTTTAAAACAAAGGGTTCCTACATAGTTGAGCAGCTGTTTAAAATAATTTTGATTCAGATGAATTTAATAATAACTCATTCAGATTGATCTGTGAACCTCTTTGACATGACATGTATGGCAAGCCCTTTTGACTTTTATTCATTCTCAGGATATGAATTCTTGATATCAACAATTCAATTTTTACTAGTTAAAATGTTCATTCTTGATATCATGAATTAGATTTCTACTAGTAACAATGGCTATTTTTGATATCAGCAACTACATTTCCACTAGTAACAATGTTAATTCTTGATATCAACAATTACTTTTCAACTAGTAAAAACTATAATTCTTGATATCTGTAATTGTATTTTCACTAGTTAAATGTCACCATAGGCTGCCATTCAAAATCAATTGTTGATATCAAGAACTGATTTCTTACTAGTTGAAATTCCAACTTCACATATCAGAAATACAATTCTTACTAGTAAAAACCTTTATTTTTGATATCAGTAATCACATGGTTACTAGTACGGATGTTTCTTCTTGATATCAACAATTTGATTGTCACTAGTGACAATGTTCATTTCTGATATCATGAATGTGATTGTTACTAGTAAGAAAGCCATTTTAGATATCAGAAATTA